AAAGTGGGGCTTCCGTGAGGCCTTCCCAGACACACCTCAGTGGGAAACAGACCCAGGGGCCGGGATGCCTCAGGGTCAGGAGGATTCGCTGCGCCCTTGTACAACATTGGTCCTTTACAACCATCAAGTCATCCTATGACTTTGGAGTTTAGAATCCTGAGGTCTAAAAGCTGGGAAGGCATGGAGTAGGTGGTCTTCAAAGCACTTATTTCTGTAAGACAGGCACGGTAGTACATGTCCATAATCTCAGCACTCGGGTGGTTGAGGCAGGAGGATTGCAGTGAGTTCAAGGACAGTTTAGAGCCAGGTGGGATTGAGGCACTTCTTTAATCCTGGCACTCAGGAGGCAGAGACAGGTGGATCTCTGTGAGTTTGAGGCCAGCCTGGTCTACAGAGCGAGTTCCAGGGCAGCCAGTGCTACACTGAGAAACTGTCTCAAAAACAAACAAAAAATGGAGAAAAATAATACACGTCGAATCACCACAGAAAGAAATCTCTGGCTAGGTCTGCAAGGGAATATCTAGGTTGGGTTAATTAAGGGGGGGGGGTATCTGGATTGGTGCCACCATTCCATGGGCCAGGAATGAATAAAGAGGCAAGCCAAAACACCAGCATCCATCTGTCTGCTTCTTGACGGTGGAGCTGCATGCATCCTGTTCCTGCCACTATTGAAAGGTTCCGGCATTACCTGTACCAGGCAGTACCCTGGTCAGCCCAGGGTTCCATGGGAACTAAGTCTGCACGCAGGTGTAGAGGACCCCTTTAAAAGACAGACCCCTGCCCATTTACGCTCTCTCTTTACTCGCTCTCTGCTCTTCTCTCTCTCTCTCTATGGTGACGGCTCATGGCGGTCAGCCATTAACTTTGTTTCTCTTCTCTCTTACTCCCTCTACTCTGCCGGGCCTAATAATAAACTGGTTAACATCTCTCATCCGCCTCTCTTTTTCTTTACTTCTAACTTAAACAAAAATTTTAACAACTATACCTTCCCCGCCACGATGGATTGTACCCTCAAACGAGCCAAAAATCTTTCCTCGGTTTGCTATCGCTAATAACACTAACTGGTTAGCAACTGCTATTGCTAATTGAGTTGCCAATCACTAACAGATGGAACAATTACACACAAGGACAATAAACAACACGAGACAGCAAGAACAAATTCCCAGGCCAGTGTTAACAACGGGAGGGTCACACTTTATGTCCCCAGCAGCAGCCAAACCTCACAGAAAACCCATCAGGTGGCCTCTGCTATTCTCACCCCCATTACAGACTAAGGGCCTGGCCCTAGGCGCTACAGATAAATAAGCAGCATGGGGACAGAGGGAAAACTCTGGAGTTGGCACACATATACCTTGATGACCAAAAACTTGGGGATCAGAGACTCTCTCTTCAAAAGGAGACAGAGCAGGTGCCCCGTAAAAGTAGTCACTATAGACTGTCTGGTCCCCAGGTCCCAGATAAGCCCACTGTCACACTGAAAATTCAAATAAATCAATTGCAGGTATAAGACTGAGATTCATGAAGGAATGCTAGGGAAAAGGCACAGGCAAATGAATCCAAGCTAGGGGGCAGGGGAAGAGGGGAGGGAGAGGGACTTGGGATTGACATGTAAAATCATTTTCTTTCTTTTCTTTTCTTTTCTTTTTTTTTTTTGTTTTGGTTTTTCGAGACAGGGTTTCTCTGTGCAGCTTTGGAGCCTATCCTGGC